CTCAAAAGTGAAGTTGTGTCTTATTCCTTACATTTCTGCCAGTAAGATCAATGATTTTAACATGTGCTAAAAATTGACAATGAAAAATTTATAAAATACTATATACACACTATATATCACCTGCCCCTAGTATAAAACTAATTACTTGGTGACCATTTTATCTTTCATTTGTAGTGCTGAAATCTGGTATAGAAAAGCAAAAGAGTAGGAAGAGTATAAGCAAAAATAACTTGGAAATTACTGGAGAGAAAAAAAAAGAAAAACAGGGCTGGGAAGGTAGCTCATTGGTAGAGTGCTTGCCTTGCATACAATTTCTCAGCACCACATAAAAAGAAAAAGCCAGAAGCAGCACTGTGGCTCAAGTGGTAGAGCACTAACCTTGAGCTGAAGAGCCGAGGGACAGCGCCCAGGCCCAGGGTTCAGGCCCCACGACCAACAACAACAACAAAAAACCAGAGCTTGTCTTGTGTTGCACCTGGATGGTTACAGTACCACTGGTAACACCTGGGCTGAATCTGACTATATTGAGTGTGTAGATTTGAGGTGCATAGAAGAAAGGATAATCCCAAGGCCTGAACAAGCAGAAGAATGTAATTGCTTTTTTAATTGGGAAGTATGAAGAGCCTGTTTTGGTAAGAAGATGACAATTTTAGTTCTGGACATACAGTACCAATGAAGTCTCACTTGTACAACTAAAAAAAAGATTAAAGGAAAAACTAAGCTGAACAGATGGCTTTAGTAGAGTACCTACCTAGCAAGGGTGGGACACTAAATTCAAAGCTCAGTACTGCCAAAAAAGCCCAGTTCAAATACTAACAAAAAAGTAATTAATGTTTCATTTTCTATAATGGATACTTCATAGATTATATAAGCATAAATTGTTACCAAAATATATATATATATATGAGGACCAAATGTTAACACTGGAGAGAAAAACAAGAATCACTGAGGACTTTGACAAAAACTGTTTCAATAAAGTGGTGGGAACAAATGCCTAACCAGAATGAGTTCAAGAGAGATTATGAATCACAGAATAGGATCAGAAAAATATAAAACTCTTCTAGAAGAGGATGTGAGGCACATTTGTTTGGATTGTAGCTTTTATTGCATGTTTACTGGGATAATTTAGTACATTGCAATGCCTACCACATATTATCTTCTTAAAGATTATGAAGATTATTATTTTTCTTCACTAGCTTCATTTGAAAATGTTACTGTACTTTGTGAGTTCTGGTCCCATATTCTCTAGGGAATAATACTAAATTAAATGGACTGGAGGCATGGCTCAAGGGGATAAGTGCCTGACTTAGAAAATGCCAGTTAAAACCCCAATATTGCCAGTCAATCAATCAATGTTTTACGTTGTAGTTTTTCTTACTGTGCAAGCCTATAGGAAAATATCAATTCATTTTATTTCCTTACTTGTTAAATGTTCCTACTTTAAAAAAAATTATTTTTTGATGAGTGGCGGCTTCAACCAGCAAACTTTCAGGAATTCCTGAAAGGTAAGGTATCCCAGATGTCTGAGCTGATTTTGTTTCTTTTGAGAGTCAGAAATTTAATTCCTATTCTAGTAGTCACTGCTCAGCCTATGGCCCAAGAAAACAGTTACTGGCTTGAATAACATAAAAATCAGCAAAACCTAAAAAGCAGCACTTTGATTAGTTTCCAAATACATAATGTAAATAATAAATCTACTTCCTAAGTGTTGCTTGCCACACAGACTTTTTGAACTCTGCAATGAATAAAATGATTCCACATCACTTAACCAATGATCTGTTTATATTCTTTATTTCTTTTTGCCAGCTTAGAAACAATGCTATTTCTTTCATATGCTAAACTCTATGGTCAAATCTCCAACAATTTTGGTATTTTGCTTTCTGAAGTAGTTACATTAAAAAATAAGCATGGAATTCAAAACATTTCATATCCTTCATCTTCACCATTAAGTTCAATCAAAATATGCACAGTAATGTCTTCATTTTATAAATAACTATTTTTTCTAAAACGGTACAGAGGTAAATAATCTACTTCATAAAATACAGCACCAGTGTACTTCTGAGATGGCTGAAAAAAAGAACACTCTAGAGGAGAGACTTTGCAAATAGTTTAGGTATCTTTCCAGAGTACTCTCTACTTGGATGAATTTTTGTTTTAAATCACCTTGATTAATGGAGCACATTTACTAAAGTGGTTCTGTACCTGCATAATTCTTATGGTTTGAATAGCCCAGACTAGAAAAATTGGCAAGGGGAAGCCCTCAAAAACACTGGCCTCTCTTTCAAAACCAATACTGTTGCTAATCCAAAATGGTTCCCTTCCTTTTTAAAATAAGTGTTATTCTCTCAGAATCTGAGAGAAGCAGAAGTGGCCTTGTGAGGAACATACATTCAAGAGCCAAGCTACTGGTGTTTGAAGTCCAACTTTTATAGTTTGAAAATGGTGATTTACTTAAGCTTAGTTTTTATTATTAGTTTTCCTACTATTAAAAAAGTTAACTCTTGCAAAGTTTCAACTGTTACTCAATTACATTGAGTTGAACAACATTATTTCAAGTACATATCCCACATTTACACCAAAACAAGGTGCATGGAATATACCTGGAATGATGGAGTCCTCTAATTTGCCCATTTATTAAATGTATAAAAATTTCACGTACAATTTTCTTTAAAAATATTCAAAATACTTAGATTTTGCAGTCTCCTACTTATCTTCTGATTACTTACCAGACTTTAGGCCCATTTGTCTTGATTTACCTACTCTAAAACGCTTACAATGAAATTAACATAGCTTAAATAAATTGAAAGACTTAAATACATAAATAGAAGTAAGCTACAGTCTATTTTGCTGACTACACTACTTATCTAATGTAAATTCCTAAAGCAGCTTAGAAGTAACTAGACTCTCATGAGAAGAGTTATATGAAGGTAAAATCCTATAACAAACTCCAACAAAAGATACAGCATTCATCATGAAAGGCATGGTAGAAAAACATTACCTGCAACCGTACTAACATCTTCAACATAATTACCATCAAATAACAATTTGCTTACAATTGTAGTAATAAATGCCAGAAAACATTTGCACCCCTCAACTACATTATATTATGGATGGTAAATTTAATACCCTTATTGATCAAACTTACTTATAGGCCAATCAGGCTATCACAGTTCAAAATGAATTTACAAGATGAATACATTTAACTCTTCAATTATTTGTTTACATTAGGAATAAAGAGGTAATGGTTAACATACAAGTTCATAATCTGATAGCAACACAATTTTAAAATAAAAAATGAAGCTACAATTATGAAAGCAAACAATATGCTGAATAAACCAAGGTATACCCCTCCTACTTCTATCACAGAAGCCATGTGCTTGGTGAAAGGAGCTAACATAGCACATCTATTTGTACTCCTTTGCTGCCTATTTAGAAGCTTCAACCACAATTTCTAGTCTACAACTTTTTTTTTTTAAGATTCTAAAGAAACTAACATATGGAATTTACTTGATATTGCCACTTTGTCTACTAAAACCTTTCTAAATGAGCAATCTAGATTATCTTTAGGTGTCTGTCTTCACTTGCTTTGAATGTGCTTGACTTTTTTCTTTTTAGGCACGGCATTTTAGATGTGGATTTTTTTTTTTTTTTAAGAAATTCTGTCTTGGGGGCTGGGAAGGTGGCTCAGTGGTAGAGCGCTTGCCTTGCATGCCTGAGGCCCTGGGTTCGACTCCTCAGCACCACATAAGCAAAAAGAAAAAAACCAGAAGTGGCGCTGTGGCTCAAGTGGTAGAGTGCTAGCCTTGAGCTGAAGAGCTGAGGGACAGCACCCAGGTCCACAGTTCAGACCCCACGACCGGACCCAAAAAAAAAAAAAAAAGAAATGCTGTCTTGCCGTATAGTTAAGGCTACCCTTCAGACATGAGTTAGTCTCATTTTGGGTTCAGAATACTAGGGATTACAGGTGTGCACCACAATGCTCAGCAACCTGGACAGATGTGAGAAGCATTAGTCAAATATATCATTGGATATTCTCAATTCAGGTATGTTGGATATTTTCTCTCTCCCTGGTTGTTTTTTGGGGGGGGGTGTTTTTTTGTTGTTGTTGTGTTGTTGTTTTGGTGCCAGTCCTGTGACAGTCAGGTGGCTTAAATCTAAGGCCTGGCTGCTATCCCTGAACTACTTTTTTGCTTAAGATTAGCATTCTACCACTTAAGCCACAGTTACACTTCTGGCTCTTTTGGTATTTAATTGGAGATAAGAGTTTCACAGACCTTCCTTCCTTCCTTGGCTGGCTTCAAACCTCAGATCTCAGCTTCCTGAGTAATTAGGATTACATGCATGAGCCATCAGCACTCAGCAGATGTTTTCTTGTCATTAAACTGAAGCTGCTCTTTTTAGTGGGATGGAGAACGTGGCACTGGGGTCAGAACTCAAGGCTTCATACTTGCTAGGTAAGTACTTTACCACTTGAGCCACATACCCAGCTGAGTGTCTTTCATTTTTTTTTTTTCTCTCTAGTAACAGTATTACAAAAGTGACGTGATTTTCTTGGTACTTCAGTTCAGGGGCTATTAAGATGATGTCATGTTATGGTGGTAAGCCATAACAGTTCTTTTTCCCTGTGATACTTTGAGCTTGCAAATATTTCTCTTCAAATTTTTGCCCCAAATTTTGAGTATCACTTATAAATCTATCACTGAGATGTTTGTATAGTTATATGTAGCTAGACAGATATAGATATATACATCTATCTATCTATCTATCTATCTATCTATCTATCTATCTATCTATCTATCTATCTATCTATCCATCTATCTATCTATCATATCTATCTATGAAGTACAATAGCCAAATTGTTCTTGGTATAATTAAATTTCATGGAATATAACTTTTTTTTCTTATATTCAAGATATGAATAACTGCTTCATTTTCTGAGTATTCAGTTAATGTTAGTCTACTATGATACCAAAGAACAATATAATTAAAATAATACTTACATAACTACGGTTTTTAAAGAAATCTGATGGACTAGTGGTGATGATTTTGTCTCCTTCCAGACCAATTACTCGTTTACAAATATTTGACTTTGGATCACTTGGACTTTTTGCAATCACAATGTCACCTCTGAGGGGGAGAAAAAAAAAATCAAAGAACTATCAGTTTTACTTATTAGGCATAACTATATGCATGGAACTCCTTTAAATATTTATAAAGGAATGTAAATATCTTCATATCTACTTACCCTCTTATGCATTCCCCAGCTTTGAGAACCTTTCTAAATGGTTCAGAATCCAAAGAGAAAATGGAAAAGCCATCTACAATCATTTATAACTTATGAAGATTCTAAATTTTCTAATAATTCCATGAAAACTATTTCTCTTGAACCACACCTTCCATTGATTGCTATTGCACCCAGATTTTCAGATCAAAACTATGGGAAAAAATCCCACGTAAGTCCCACCAAATTAAGGAGATTTTAACTGCCCAGTGCTGATTGACTAGATCACTAAGAAGCATAAGCATAAGCCAGGCACTAGTAGCTGACACTATAATCCTAGCTACTCAGGAGGCTGATAACTAAGATTCAGAGCCAGTCCCAGCAGACAAATCTAAATCTGTGAGACATTTGTCCCCAAATAACCAGTGAAGAAAAAGAAGTTGAGGCATGACTCAAGTTGTAAGAGTGTCAGCTGTGAAAAAAAGGACCAAACAAGTGTGAGCCCTTGAGTTTAAACTCTAGTATTGGCAAAATGAAAGGGAAGAGGAAGAAAGTGGAGCAGGCACCTGTAATTCATGCCTGTAATCCGAGCTGCTCAGGAGGGTGAGCTGAGGACCCCAGTTGGAAGCCATCCTGGACAAAAAAGCCCCCATGAGACCTTTATCTCCAATTAACCACTCAAATACTGGAAGTAGAGCTGTGGCTTACAGTGGTAGAGTAGAGTGTTAGCCTTTAGCAAAAGAGCTCAGGGACAGCCCCACAACGGACCAAAAAAAAAAAAAAAGAGGGAAGGGTAGAGGACACCATGTATCCCCAAAGCTCAGAAATTAAATGTAACAGTAAATAACTTATGTAACTTACATAATTATGCAATTAATATAATTTATAGTGATTTATAGTATTGTCTAAAGAACTTATATTTGAGAGAAAAATTAAAAGACACACCAAATAAACATGAAGAGCTGGGCAAACATATACTATAAAAATAGTATCTATCGTGCAAAACCAGTGTATGTCTTACTACATATAGAAGGCATGGTTCATGGAACAACCACATGGTAATTAAAAGTGGAAGAAAAGCCAGGCGTGATGGCACATAATTTGTAATCTCAATCCTTGGTAGAGCACAAGTTTCAGGATAACCTGGGCAACACAGTGGGATGCTATCTCAAAACCCCAAGGGGTAAGGAGGTAACTCACTGACAGAGTGCTTGCCTTACATGCAAAGTTTCTCTGTGCCTAACTAGAATTATGCCAGTGGAGTGAAAAAGTTATGTGATCAGATAGCCCTTAAATTCTGCACTTAAAGAACTTATGCACTTAAAAAACTTAAGTTGCCCGGGGAACAAACTACTAAACATGTTTTCAACCATAGTGTTAGTGCAATAACTAACTCACTTTCCTAGCCAGTGATCTTTCAGTTACACTTTTTTTCTTTTTTTTTTCTCTTAGGGTAGGATACTGGGGTTTGAACTCATAGCTTTGCACTATTTTGCTTAAGGCTGGCACTCTACCACTTGAGCCAGAGTTTTACTTCTAACATTTTACTGGTTAATTGGAAGTAACAGGCTTTCATATTTGTCTGCCAGGGCTGGGTTCATGATATCCTCAAACCTCAGCCTCAAAAGCGGGGAGGAAGTAGGGTGGGGGGAAGACGGGAAGGGATGGGAAGGGGAAACAAAGGAGGAGGTAACAATGCTTATAAGAAATGTACTCATTACCTTGCCCATGTAATTGTAACCCCTCTGTATGGTATTTTCACAATAAAAAAAATGTTTTAGAAAGTGTAAAGTTAAGAAATTGGAGGAATGTATATTTTCATTATAAATTTAGAATATTTATCAAAGAAATTTACCTTTGGATACCATAAAAATGTCGACTAAGATTTTCTGCAAAGACAATATCTGAATTATGAATTGTAGGCTCCATTGATGGTCCAGAACACTGAAATGAAATAATTTTGTAATTGAATTTAGAAAACTTTTTAAATTTAACAGACGTAATTTGCTCATATTTAAAAGAAAGTAAAGCAACCAAATGTTCTTAAGCTTGGGCAATCATCCACAATCTGGCATTTCCCAGATAAGTTTAACTTTGGAGTGGCTACCAAGTCTAGAAATACAAATATATCACACATATGTATTACTGATATGTCATAGTACATGAACAAACTAACATTATATATGACTCCAAACTTTGGAGTCATATATATATATATATATATATATATATACACACACACACACACATACATATATACATATAACATATAACTTACATTCTATGGAATGTAAGTTCCATAAGAAAGGAACCTTGTTTCTTAGTTTCCAAGCTATCTAATGTGAAGAACAGTGCTTGGCGTAAGATGATATTCAATAGTATTTGTTGAATAGATGGTTCATTTTCTTGGAATTGTGAAATACCACTAAGTGCCATGGCATGGTGGTTTATTAAATAATACTGTCAGCAGGAAGAAATACACAAGACAGAAGAATATCTTGTGAAAGAGAGTGAAACACCTCTGATATTGAGGAGATAGAGGCTCAAAATGCCAGTCTCTGTGTCAGGTATACAATCTGAGCAGAGTAATTTGAGTCTGAACCTTCACCAAGAGAGTGGCCATGTAGCCTAGAAATCCATAATTACGGTGGTAAATTCCCAGGCAATGAGGAGATACAGGAGATAATGGGTGTGACATTTTTGGCCATTCTTCTCTATTTAAGCAATTGCCTTCTATACTGATTAAATTACTCATCTAGAGAGCTTGTAACTATCATCTAAAGAAAGAGAGGGTGGCTCTGGGAAGGTGGCTCAGTGGTAGAGTGCTTGCCTTGCATACATGAGGCCCTGGGTTTGATTCCTCACCTCAGCACCACATAAGCATTAAAAGCTGGAAGTGGCACTGTGGCTCAAGTGGTAGAGCGCTACCCTCAAGCTGAAGAGCGGAGGGACAGCGCCCATGCCCACAGTTCAGGCCCATGACCAACCCCCTTTCCTCCTCCCCAAAAAAGGGAGGGTGATGAAAGGAATTTGGAGTATATACTCAATTTTTGTTGATCTTAGTGATTTTAAGCTTCTTAATCCCTAAGTCTGGCTTTCAAAATATTTTTACTTTTTATGATTTTCACTTCACCTTATAGACCTATTTACCCTGCATTAATATTACACTATTCTTGCAGTAAACTAATAATTGTTCTGCTACCAAGAGAATGGTTTTATTCAGATGATAGGGCTAAATCTTACATTTTCTACTGAAAAATATCAGCATGGGATATATTCTAAAAACATTTATCTGTATATATAACAACTATCTATATATAATTTACTTAAAAATAAAAGCTTCATTCAAATGGTTCTACTAAGGCAGAAAGAACAGAAAGAAAATTTAGGATTGCTATTTCTAAAGGTATCAATGTAACTAGTAAGGAGTTTCTATTCAATATATTTATTTACATTACTCCAGTTCAACTTGAGGTCATAAGACAATCAATTAATTAGGATAAACCTAATATAAAAATCATAATATAAACAATAATAACATCACTATTGGCTAGAAAGTTAGTCAAATACTGTTTCACTTACATGACAAAACATTTGAACAACCCAAGCTGACAGTCATGATATATTACTACAGAGAACAGGTACTGGTTGATCATGAAGGGACCATTTTAATATTGATGTTAACAGAAAAAACATGTTTTAATGACAAATACGGTAGCTAGGAATAGGAGTTTTAAAAATTAGAGAAAAAAAAGTGTTGCAAATCTACCTCTCCTACATATCCTGTTGGACCTGGAACAAGTAATGTAAGCTTTTTCCTCTTGTATGATGAATTTCTAATAATTACCTTAAGACAAAATGAGTTAATAAGTATAAATGAAATACCCAGAAAATAGTAGATAGTACCACCTACTATTATTAGTGTATTAAGAGGATTTTAAAGGAGATTTTTGTTTGCTGGTTAGAAACAAAATACAGAACACATTTACTTAATTTTTCTTACATTTTTATGCCAGTGTCAGTGCATTCTATCATGTCTAAATATTTAGTTTAATTTTCACACTTTGTTCATTAAAATAATAGCATCAAGTAAAATGAAGGAAAAAACACAGTATCCTTCAATTTTAAGAAAGCATATTTAAAAATGAAGATTCTTGAGTGAAAAACTTACCATTACAACACCACCAACGTATTCAAAAGCACAATGGGCTATACAGCCATACTGAATAGTATAGCCAACAAGTCGAAAGGTTTTTCCCAGAACACCACGAAGCATAGTTCTATGTTGAGTCTGCTACCATTGGCCTGATGGTAAATTTCAAAAAGTTTTATAATCAATAGTTTTTAAAAAATATACTTAAGAAATGTGTAAAATATTTCACTATCACTCAGAATGTTCTGTTTGTTACAGAAAAGCAAGAGCTTATTTTTTCTTTCTGTTAAACGTATTTTAAGAGATAAAATATAGGCACTGAAAAACATTCCAAAATAACAGACTTCTGAACTAATCTTTCCCCTTCCACAACTTACTTCCTGAAACTAAGGCAGGTAATTAAGGAAAGCTATTCTTATTTGATCCTTGTTATTATCAGTTCTTATGTGGTATTAATATATGGAAAAGTCACTAAAAGAGGTAAATAAGGATTCAAGTTTTAAGCTGGTGGTTCTTTTGTTTTGGTAGGACTGTGCTGTTTGAAATTAGGGTTTCCTGTTCCCTAGGCACTATACAACTTGAGCCTCCTCCAGACCTTCTGCCTTCATTATTTTTCAAATAAGGTCTTTATAGTTTGCCAGGTTGACCTCCAGGTCAACCATAATATTCCTGTTCACACTTCCTGTGTAGAGGGAATGACAGGTGTATACCACTGAACTTAGCTTTTTTATGTTGTTGAGAAGGGGGAATCTCTTGAACTTTTTGCCACACCTGGCCTTGAATCTCAATTCTCAGCCTCTTGTAAATTGATTCATTTCTTAATTGTGTGATAGTCAATGAATTATTTAACAAGCATTAAAATGGAAAAATCTCATACAATGGCTCTGAGAATCAAATTCAACATGTCATAGTCAAAAATTAATAGTTACTATCAGTTGTCAGCTATTGTGATAATAATGACAACACAAATATATAAAATAGCAGAAGGTATCATTTTATTAGCATAAATTGATTATACAAGGGGGGTACAATATAATATTCACCACCTCTATCACTCTTCCTCATCCCCATTTCCCTTCTTAAAACAATTCAAAATATTTGTTTTCTTTTCATACATACATATAAAGTACCATCTTTAAAGCCGTATTAATTGACAATATTAATATAATTCATCTAAAATATTTCTGGTATGTTTCCTTTTAATTTACCCTTATAACTTCATTTAAAACATTTCTCAATTAATGGCCTAAGCTATTCTATGTTATTAAAGCCATTAAAATAAAGCAATAATTATCAGTAATATTAAGGGGGTAGTTACTGTGTCTTTTCCCATCATAATTACTCATCTCCTTAACATAGTCAGGTGAATGACAGACCTGTCATATTAGAACTTGAGAATTGCGCCTATGATCTAGAAATCTATAAAGTAACTCAATTGGCAAGAAGAACTTGTATCATTCTGACTTCCATATTCTACCCTGTTCCCAAAACCTCAATAGCTTCTTAGCAGATCAATCCTAAGATTATTTAAGACTTTCTTCAAACATCTCTGATACATGCCTTCCCTCTAATTCCATTCAAACTTGATTTTCCCTGATGCTATTATGTGATTGACTACTCAATCATATTGGTCTTTTCCTCAAGTAAACTTTGCTCAACAAATACTAATTAAGGCTAAGGACACTCCAATGTCTGGAATGTTTTTCCTGTCTGTGGTATATATACTATATATATAAATATATATATATATAGTCCCCAATTTTGATACATAGCTCTCAAAAGTTTGGAATTGATCAAGTAACAGGATTGTTTTCCAATCAGAAATGACTTTATGCTAAAAAATGAGAAGGCGAGACTTGTAAATAGCCTCAAGATGGGATTGCTAACCCCAAACTGTCAGCTTCATTTGTCACTTCCAGGAAAGATTAAGCTCTATAAACACTGGAGTAGTCAGGTGTAGTTACAAAATTTAAAATTCTTCAAAACATTAAAAGAAAGAAAAAAAAACGTGTTTCCATGTCATTTCACTTAGCATTATCTTATCTGGTCACATGTACATAGATAGCTATTGAGCTATTCTGCTCATTTACTAGGACTATCCTAGACATATACATACTAATTATTATAAATGAGGGAAACTATGGGATTTATGTTTCTTTGGGTCTGGCTTACTTCACTTAACATGATTTTTTCCAAGTCTTCCCATTTCCTTACAAATGGGGTTGTGTCATTCTTTCTGGTGGAAGCATAGAATTCCGTTTTATATATAACATTTTCTTGATCCATTCATCTACTGAGGGGCATCTGGGTTGGCTCCATATCTTAGCTATGGTAAATATTACTGCAATAAACATGGTTGTGCTGATAGCTTTAGTATGACCTTGTTTGTGGTCATTTGGGTAAATTCCCTGGAATGGGATTGCTGGAACATAGAGGAATCCTATGTTTAGTCTTGAAGAATCTCCATACTGCTTTCCAGAGAGGCTGAACAAGTTTACACTCCTGCCAACAGGGTAGTAGTATTCCCTTTGGCCACGGTCCCTCCAGCATGTTAGATTTCTTGATAATGGCCATTCTAACTGGGGTGAGGTGGAATCTCAATATTTTTTTTTTGTTTTTTGGGGTTTTTTTTGTTGTTGTTGTTGGTCATGGGGCCTGAGCTCTGGGCCTGGGCACTGTCCTTGAGCTCTTCAGCTCAAGGCTAGTGATCTACCACTTGAGCCACAGCACCACTTCTGGATTTTTTCTGCTTATGTGATGCTAAGAAATCAAACCCAGAGCCTCATGCATGTAAGAGAAGCACTCTACCACTGAGCCACCTTCCCAGCCCCTCAATGTGGTTTTGATTTGCATTTCTAAGTGATTTCTTTTTTATGTTTTTCCCCCCTAAGGTTTATCCCCTGTTGACACTGTATTTGATTTTGGTGCTCTGGGTATTGTATATACGTTTATCTGAATTAGGGAAGGGAAGGGGAACAACAAAATGGTGAGACAAAGGACAAAGGGTAAACCAAGGCAACAACCATACTCACAAGACAATATGTTTGTTGAAAGTGAACCATACAACTTGGGGGGGAGGGGGGTAAAGAGAGAAAGTGGGATAAAAATGAGAGAGGGGTAACAAGTTCAACAAGAAATGTACTCATTACCTTATTATGTAGCCCCTCTGTACATCACCTTGACAATAAAATTTTTTAAAAAATTATACAAAACACAAACTGTAATCCTAACTCTCTAGAGGCTGAAATGAAAAGATGGTGAAATCAAGGCTATCTGGACAACACAGTGAAATTCTGTCTCAAAAAAAGGGGAGGAGAATCTTTTGGACAACAAAATTTCAAGATCAGCCACTTATCCATATATCAGAAGAATTATAACACCCCAGCTTCATGGAGATAGAAGTTCTGTATTCAAGACCCTGACCCTATGTATCCTCATCTGTCTATGCAGCTGTATTTTTAATAAAATATCTTCTGACAAACTGGTAATGTCTATAAATTACTTTTGTGATTTCAGTGAGTAATTCTTAGAAATTATTAGACCTGGGGGAAGGTAATGGAAACCCTCATTTATATTCTCTCAATCAGAAGTACATGGAGTCTTGTGTACAACTGGTATCCAAAGTGGTCCAGTCTCTTAAGACTGGGCCCATTATGGCACAGAAACCCAATCCCAGGTAGAAACAGAATTATACTGAATTATAGGATAGCTAGTTAGTGTCCACCAGAGAAGTAAACCAATTTGTTTTAGAAAACACATATACATACATGACCCATAAATCTACTATTGGAAGTTTTGTGTGAATAAACTGTCTTTCACAAATACTATCTAGTAAGTAATATTAAAAAATTAAATAATTCCTCCTTCATTAGGAGTATACTACTGAAGCATTTTTAAAACTAGTGATTATTGTAATTAAATAATTTAATAAAAGTCCAATTTAAATATAAATTTAAAATTGAACCAATTATTGGTATCAGAGTTTATACAGGAGTCTCAATAAAGACTTTATCAATATTGACAAAATAATTGACATAGCTTACTGGCAGACATTTAACCTATGACAAACTGTTTTCAACACAAAAAAGTTTCAGATTCAGATAGTGTCAGTGATAAAATTCCTTTAAACATTTAAAGATGAAACAACATCAATCATAAACTCAGTGAAAATAAAATAAAGTGATATTTCCTATCCAGTTTTTACATGGCCACCATAACTTCGATACTAAAACTCACCAAGAAATAATATAGGATGGGGGGTGGGGGGAGGATCAGGTAGGAGGAAGGAGGGAAATATGGGAAGGGATGGGAAGGGGAAACAAAGAGGAGGCAACAATGCTTGATAAGAAATGTACTCATTATCTTGCCCATGTAATTGTAACTCCTCTGTATGGTATTCTCACAATTAAAAAAAAAAAGAAAAAAAAAGAAATAATATAGGAAAGGTGAATTCAAAGCAATAAATCTCTTACCAACATATCTTAAAACAAAGAACAAATTGAATCCAATAACATATAAAAATATTATAAATATATACTCATTCTGAACATGTAAAGTTGGCATTATATTTAATAAAAAAAAAGAAAAAGCATGTGATCATCTCAAGTGCTGTAGAAAAAGCATCTGGTAATATTTCATATGTATTCATGATAAATCTGGGAATAGAAAGAAGCTTTCTTAACCTGTTAAGGGCTGTGTGTGTGTGTGTGTGTGTGTGTGTGTGTGTGTGTGTGTGTGTGTGTATGTGTGTAAATAGGCAATTCAACACCAACAAAACTCTAGCGATCATATCTGACTTAATGTGAAATGACACTACACTAAAAATAAGATACAAAAACTGGAAAGGGTGAATTGATAATCATTAACAAGTAATAACTTTTCTACACAGGAAAATAATGAATGCATTAATTATCAATGTGTCTTGATGCACAAACATTAATTGACCAAAATAATGTAACTCGACTTTACATACTAGGAAAAGCTTTTTATAAAATAAAAATTTTCCATATACTTTTTACATATAAAATCACACCCAAATACCAAATACTTAAAATAAAAATCTAAGGAACTATGTAGTGCATATGAAAAAATAAAGGAGACTAAGACAAATGGAAAGATACTATTTTTCTGATTGTAGAGCTTACAGAATTCT